TCCCAGATGCGGAGTCTCAGATCAAAACGGAACCGGGAATTGCAAACTTCCAGTAACACGCAAGAAGCCACGGTGCGGACGATGCCGTCACCAAAAAGGAGAAGTCTAGCGACGAAGAGGTCACGGCCGCCAGGGCAGAGTGCTCCTTGTTGCTCAACTCCAGGCAACCCTCCAGAGCGTGAATGCTGCAGAGCAGAGGACAAGAGCAGCGACAACTGTACCTGCGGCGATGAAAGTCGAAGTGAAGACCAAGCCGGCAAAATCCCCTACACCCAAGTCTACGGTGGACACCAAGGTGAGAACCAAGAAGGATGCACCGAAAACGCGTGCGTACAGGAAGACCCTCCGTGTTGGATATCCGTCTGACTCAGACCAAAGTTCAATCGTCGATGGCGGCGACTCTTGCTCTGGCGATTCGGATAACTGCCGCTCAGTGACATGGTTGTACCCAGGGTCATCCAGGGCAGCATAATCACGATGCCTATCCGGTCATTTGTGACTGCAAGCTCTCTTGATGATTTCGATGATAAATCTTCCCTCTTGGAACGTACTCACTGGTGGGAGCGTTTTCAGACGTTGGCCTTCCAGAGTGGATGAAGCGACAAAAAAAACGTTTACAAGCTCCTTTGAAGTTGTCTACCTCGGCGAGGACCTGTCGTTACATTGGAGCGTTTTCAGACGTTGGCCTTCCAGAGTGGATGAAGCGACAAAATAAAAGTTTACAAGCTCCTTTGAAGTTGTCTACCTCAGCGAGGACCTGTCGTTACACTTATCTACGCATGTGCGTCGCGATAGGTCAGGATTCTCCAGGGAATTCAAGGCAAAGTATTGCAAGTCCAAGATGTTCGACTCTGAGAAGTATTACACCATGAAGAAACGCAAGCCGGAGACACCTCTGGATTTCTTGGACCTCCTGAACCCTGCAGGAGACTGCGCTAACATTCGTTATTAAAATTTTAAAAGTGAAGGGTACTTCAAGCGGTTTACAAATCCACTAGTGAATTCGCAGTGGTTTTGCTCTTCGACTGGTGGATTCACAACTGGAGAACATCCAGAAGAGGCAACAATTCAAGTGTGTGGATGACCCGGAGTATGTGCTGAAATAGCAGGAGGAGGACTGGGATGATGAAAGTCAGAACGCTCCGTCCACCAGGCCACGGTATTCGGGGTGGACAATCTCCATCACGGGCGCCTGAAACCCTAGTACATAGGAAGAGCGTACGTTGCTCAGAGCGACGACGAGTCCGAATCTGATGAACGACGTGTGATGGTTGAAAATAAAACCTATGAGAGTCCCACGACCCAGGAAAATACCGATTCTCGAGAAGTGTCCATTGAAAAGCAATTTCCTAGTATGATCACTGACTCAACATGCGCTCAAGGTCGTGGAGAATTCAGGATAGTGCAAGCATGGGAACATGGCACACCAGGGTAAGACCCGTCATAACAACGGCCATCCAGGTTCGCTGTGGAGTAGCGGGCTAACGTTTTCGTGTAAGCTTGTCTCGTACAAACCCTTCGCGGCGGAATCGGTGGCCGCGTCATGTATTTTCCCGGGACTTGTCGTAGCGTATCTCAGCTCAGAATGATGATGTAGCTAGGGTAGAATCTTGTTGCGATGTGTAGCCTGGATAGACGTGTGTCATTTTGACGACGACTTCCGGCCTTCTTCACCTTCAGTCGTAGTTTTTGTCGCCGTCGTGCAGCGATTTCGTGCCGCCAATTCCAGGTAGCGTTATCGTGCAACCACTCGTTCTTCGTAGCCCCTGTTCTGTTATCGGAGGGCGCTTCGACTGTATTTTTTTGCGTGTCCATCACTGCAGGCACGGGGTGTTGGGGTGAGTTTACCAATCAGTCCACATGTCGAGAGCACTCTTATCGAGGCTGCTCTGCTTGTCGAGCGTAGGAAGGCCCTCAGACGGAAAAGCGTGAAAAAGACTTAGATTTGTGTGAGACTCAGATTTTTGGAGCCTGATCATATCCTAGCCACCCTAATCACTGGCTACATTTCTGTATGATTTGCCTACCCTATCACACCTAAGTGCAACTCTAATCCGCGCAGTACCTCGACCAGAGGTTTAATCCGAGCTTGGATAGGCTAGCACGGGTTCGCGTCGCGGGCTGGCACAGGAGTTCAGTCCGGGGTCGCGTCGCAGGTCGGCCCGGGTTCTGGACCACTGATAGGGTAAGTCTCTGGTCCGGGGTCACTATTCTGATATTTGTCGTATTGTGACGGCATGATTCGACTCCAATCAGATTGCCCGTCAATCATTCTGGTCTTTCCCGTCACTCGCCCCGTGTTGCCGACCAATTTTCATATCGTGTTGCTGTACTTTCGAGGCACTCTACCACATCGCCAGGCAGAAGCCTGCCACCAGAGCTGTTTCCCAGAGCCACAAGCGCACAATCGGTATACAGTCAAATTTTCTGAGTCCCCCTGATTCAGCAACTCTGTTTCCCAGAGCCACAAGCGCACAATCGGTATACAGTCAAATTTTTTGAGTCCCCCTGATTCAGCAACTCTGAATCGAGTGCGAGCAGTCCCGGCCAAGAATAGCCAGACGCCCGACGTAGGTACGTCACTGACAATAGCATCCGTCCAACAGACTGTTGCTGTGGACCAAAAGCGAGAGATCAAGCGCGAGATATCTCCAGTCAAGAGCACCAGTCGCCAAAAGCCGTCGAGTGCGTCACAGGCTCCACCGGCCGTGAGGCGAACGGAGCCGCAAGTTGCGAGAATGACTACCGCACGAAAGGGAGAGTCTACTTCATCGTCGTCGAAGAGGTCACAGCCGATGAAGGCGAAGGAGAAGTTTAACCCTACTCCTGATGATCCGGATGACTCGGAGCCCAGTGACATTGACAATGATGCGAGTCGAGGAGGAAGTTCTGAATCTAGCGATGCTGAAAGCTTCTCAAGTGAGGATGAAGACATCGGGATGACGACACCAACGACTACGGCCGATGGAACAACGATTTTGAATTGTAGACATTGACTACACCAATCTGAAAAGTTCGATGAAAAGGCGTCCAGGGAAAATTGAGTCAATCGATGGGAGCGATTTTCAGATACGGTGTCCCAGGGATCCTGGTCAGACGCGATGATGATTTGTCAGTTCCGGAGCCGGATGCCCACAGCGATCAGGAACCGGTTTACGCATCTACCCAAATCTACACGTCACGATTGGAAACAAATGTCACGCAGATTCAGGAAGCTGTACATCGGTACCACTGGTTCGTATTCGGAAAAATACTTTACGATGAAGATTACTGACCATGAAACACCACTGCAGTTATCTATCGTTGGAAAGCTCTCGAAGGTCACAGATTTCGGAGCATCCACGGACTTTGAACGTGCATTACTGAGCCATGAAGACGTTTGGCATCAAGAAGGAAATAACTCTCCAGATCTTAAGAAGACCAGAGATTCCCGTGCAATGACGGTCATCAACGCCGAACTCAGAACCGTGGACCGACTAGATGTCAGGGACACACTTTTGTGACTCAAGGCGACGCCGAACCCACGCAGGACTTAGAGTTTTAACCTGAGCATCGACATCCTTACGTGTTTGCAGACCAAGCAAAGGCACACTCGAAGTCGGTCTCAGAGGTTCCCAATAGTGGAATTGATGGAGAGGTTTTTCGAGTCGCAGGGAATCAACACTGGAAGTCACCCAACCCACATCCGGGCCAAGGTGTATCACGACCAGAGAATTGGGACGTCTTCTGTGAGAAATATAAAAAATGGGGACACCCTGAAGTCAACTGTTGGATAGGAATGACATGTGAACGAATGTGAAACCAAGAGGGACCCGACCAGAGTCTGTACCAGAACTCCTTGTGCAGAATATGGAGGTTTTCACGGTGGAATACCGTGTGTAGAGTGGAAAGCTTTCCAGTTTGTAATGACGCTGGAGAAGCAAGGGAATACAAACCCAATTACGAAGTATCCTTCAGAATAAGGATCACGCTTCAGGGGCGCAGCAGTTAAACCACTAAGCCCACCGGATGGAGATCCTGTACGTGACGGGCCTAAGCCCCATGAAATGTGTGTGTTAGTCTGTAAAGGTCCAGAACGAAGGACCCAACGAAAAGATAACCAACAATGCATGCATTTAGTTCAAAATGAAGTCATCTACTCTAAACAATTGTACTCAGAGTACCAGCGTTCAGATGACCCGATCGCAGAGATCCCTGAGCCTGAATCTCAGGATCCCTTGGAAGTGCCGTTGAAACCGGGTCAGAGGTACGGATGGTGGAAAGTTCACGAACATGGAGACATGCATGGATTGGCGACGATACATGGAGCTATGAACGACTCCAGAACCAGAATCTTATTGGACACTGGCGCGTCCGTGAGCATTATGAGTCTTGATCTAGCGCGTAGACTCAAGCTCAAGCTCCGGACACACCGTCAAATCAAAGTTTCTGGTTTAGGAGTAGTGACCACTTACATTACCACTTATGCCCGAGTGAAGATAACTCTCGGACGGAGTGTAGTGTACGTCCTGAATATCTGGGTTGGAAATATTGGAGAAAGTGTTGATGTCTTGCTTGGCTTAGACTTTTCGCATTCGGCAGGCGTCCGACTCTGCATATGATACGGTTTAGTCAAGCTGCCAGACGAAGAGACTGTGGTGATGTATGATGATAATCCGAAGCCCCGTGGCATGGAACTCCCTGTGTTCCCAGAGGAAAGCATACACCTGCGTTCAGGTCAGGACGCCATCGTACGAATCCGGTATGGCCCGTCCAATCCTCAACGTGAGTTGGTGTGGGCTGGGAGAGGCAAAAACTGGGTGACCACAGTCCTGTATTCTGGCAGATCCTGGGCGACTGCCGTTAAAGTGGTCAATGTTTCAGACCAGAATGTGTGGATTGATACCAGGACTGCTGTTGCGCGTATAGTGGAATACGGTAAGTTCCCAGGACAGCCTGGATTCGTTCGTCCTGGGAAGGCACGGTATGAAGAGTAGCAACAATTTATCCATGAGTGTACTATGTCACGCCAGGCAAGGACCCGTTCTGAACGACCAGAGCAGATTCTCGGGGAGAGAGAGCCTCCGTGCACCCAGACCCAGAGATATCAGTGTCCTACTAAGCTCTTAATGCATCCACAGTCCCAAGCTGCTGAGGTAAGGATGGAAAGTTGCAGGAAAAACCGAAACCATTGGATATGAAGCTCAAGATCATTGGGGATTCAGCGGTCGTCATGAACACGGTCACGACAGACCCCGAGTACCCTGAGATCCGTCCTGAGCCGGCAGAAAGGACCCATTCTGACCGGGGCCCAGATGTTAAGGCCCCGGATCCAGAGAATGTCGATGGTACCGAGGACAATGTTCCGGTGGAAAAACCGTCAGTGGATATCCAGTCGCAGACGAACTGTTCGACACCGGCCCAACGGCTGGAAGTAGAATATGTTCGGGTGATGCGAGTCTCTGCTGAAGAACTGGGTCTGGAACCTGATGTATATCTCAGGGAAAGAAGTGATTTGATGGTGCAGTTACGAGACCAACTTATCTTGGTCCCGGAATTGAAGAAACGACCCCAGAATGCAACATCGATGAAGCTAATGTCGGGGTTCCAGGTGTCACAACTCCAGAGATGGAAGCCAAGATGAAATGGATCCTGAAACGCCATCGCAGCATCTTCCTGGGAGATGGCAACGCGGCTCCGGCCCCGGCTAGTGGCGTAGTGTGTGATATCGACGTTGGAGAAGCAAAACCTGTGGGTTTACATTCAAGGCAGATTGCCGCACCTTTCTTAGTGAAGGTGTTTGAATTCTTGAAGAAGTTGTTGGAGGCGGAACTCATTGAGTATCCAGAGTCAGAGTGGTCATCACCTATTGGGATTGTGCTTGCACCTTTCTTAGTGAAGGTGTTTGAATTCCTGGAGAAGTTGTTGGAGGCGGAACACATTGAGTATCCAGAGTCAGAGTGGTCATCACCTATTGGGATTGTGCTGAAGCAAAACGGCATAGACATCCGGATGTGTATTGACTACCGACCTCTGAATTTGATCATTAAGCTATCCCGCTATCCTCTACCCCTGATTGATGATCTGTTTAAATCCATGATGTGGTTTATGAGTCTCAACATGGCGAGTAGATTCTGGGCGGTGCGGATGACTGAGCGTGCGAAGTAGATCTCTGCGTTCGTCAGCCCGTTCGGTCACTTTCAATGGCTCAGAATGCCTTTTGGATTGAAGAATGCATAGTTAATTTATCATAGTATCATCAACAACTGTCTATGGGGATACGCCAGTCTACCTCCTGAAGAGGAAACGATGGTTGACCCAGAAGTTCTAGAGTTCCTGGATTTCGAGCCTCAAGAACCCTGAAACGTGAGGTGGATAGGATGGATTCCGTCATTGGACATGTGTGTATTCCGACGCAATATCCCGGCTCCGTCACAAATGGGTCCGGTCTTGGGAAGAAGTTGGTATATTGACGATATCGTGGGCGGTGCGGATGACTGAACGTGCGAAGTAGATCTCTGCGTTCGTCAGCCCGTTCGGTCACTTTCAATGGCTCAGAATGCCTTTTGGATTGAAGAATGCATAGTTAATTTATCATAGTATCATCAACAACTGTCTATGGGGATACGCCAGTCTACCTCCTGAAGAGGAAACGATGGTTGACCCAGAAGTTCTAGAGTTCCTGGATTTCGAGCCTCAAGAACCCTGAAACGTGAGGTGGATAGGATGGATTCCGTCATTGGACATGTGTGTATTCCGACGCAATATCCCGGCTCCGTCACAAATGGGTCCGGTCTTGGGAAGAAGTTGGTATATTGACGATATCGCTCATGGGGCGTCGACCTGGGACCAACTATGTGAGGACCTGGACGCGTTGCTATACAGACTACGATTCTGAAATATCTCTGTAAGCTTACCGAAAAGTGAATTTGGAAAGTAGACCATCCCATTCCTCTCTCATGAAGTGCGTGAGGAGGGAATCAGAGCATTGCCGAAGATTGGCAAAGGCATAGAAGACTTACCTCTCCCGTCGACGTACAAGGGAGTACAATTCTTCTAAGGAAGTCTGAATTACTACAATAAGTTTATTGAGGACTCACCAGTGGTTGACGCTGTGCTCTACTAACTAGACGAAGAACGTGTACGTGCTGGACGGAACCTGGAAGCAGCGAAGGAGTCCTTCGAGATACTGAAACGAAAGATCGTGTCGACCCCGCTACTGCGGCATCCAGACAGAACCAAGGCTTTTGAAATTATTCCACATGCTAATCCGTAGGCAGCGTGTGCAGTTTTGGGTCAGGGACATGAAGGACTCATACACCAATATGATTTACTGGCAAGAGTTGATGGAATCAGAGCTACGTTACTACATAACCGAGGAGGAAGAGCTCACAATCTTGCGGACTCTGGAAGTTTTAGACCTCTGATCCATGGATCAGATTTCCCAGTTGTGGTGTATACGCGCTGCTCTGTGTTAAAGTGGTTACTTGAGTACAACACCGCCGATGGACCACATCTGAAGTGGGGGCTGGAACTATCAAGATGGACACTGGAAATTCACCGGATTCAAAATGATGAGGACGGCCTTGCGGCCATCCTTGGGTCCGGTATCAATCCCAGGGAACATTTGGATAGGGTTGCAGAAACCCTGATTCCGGCCAAGGGACGTCTGAAAGTGTTGCCCTCAGTGAGTCTGGAAATGTTGGAAGCCGACTATCAAGGCTATGTTCTGAGTTTTGATGGTGCTGCGAAGATTACTACCCGCCAAGAAAACCGCGGAAGTATACTGTGGAAACTGCCAGGATGGCAAGTCGTGAATGATGTAGGGCACATCCTAGAAGGTGTGAAGGTCAACGATGCTGAATACCATGGTTTGATTATGGGACTAAAGTTCGCTATGAAGTATGACGTCAAGGAACTTGTGATAGTCGGTGATCCCTGAATCGGCGTCCAACAAGCTCAAGGTCTGATCAATTGTAATCAGCGTAATTTGCAACGGCACTTTGCCGAGTATGAGGATCTCAGGAAGAATTTTGTGTCTGTGAAGTTGATTCATGTCAAACTTGAATTTAACCAAGCGGTCGACTAGTTGACCTCAAAGACTCTCGTGCTTGGAGAATCCTAGAAGCTCAACGACCCCGAAGAGATAGTGCACCTACGTCTCGTATCCACAATCCCTGAAAAGATCATGAAGCCTTCGGAAATCCCAGGTACCCCTGCGACCTGATGTGACTAGCTCGATCCAAGTCGAACTGGGAATATGTAACCCCAATGCCGGAAGACCTGAGCCTTTAGCTGGCGCGGCAGAGGCATTGATGGTGATGACGAGATCACGTGCGGAAGTGGAGCCAGGTTCATGACCCCCGTAGACCACTCTGGATACCAGGATGAACGTTGGAGAAGAATAAAGGCTCACCAAGACGAAGATCGGTGGATCCAGTAGATGCAAAATGTTCTAACAGGAGACGTGTCAGATCTTCCCCGGAATCGGGTGAAGAAGATTGCGATGGTTTCTGATCCGTTTGTGTTGGATTCACGAGAAATCCTCTACGGACTGAGCACACCCACCCCTGAAACCCCCGCAACAAACAGTCAGATCTCAGACTCGTGGTCCGAGAGACGTTACGTACGGACATGTTACACTACTTGCATGAAGAATTTCAAGGCGATCACCATGGAATCAACCGGACGTTTGATCGTTTGCGTTCAAAGTTCTACTGGATCGTGATGTACGTCGATGTACAGAAGTTCTTCAAAGTGTGTGTAGATTGTGCGTCGGCCATGGGGCGACCACCGGTCTTTGGCCCGTCACCTGGCAATATCAAATCGAGATATCCGTTCGAGGTGGTCTCTATGGATTTTGTCACTGAGCTACCTGAGTCCCATCGTGGAAATACATATTTATTGCTGTTCCAAGATCAATTCCCAGGAAACGTCATGACCAAATCCATGCTGAATACCGAAGCCCAAGCTGTTGCAGGAGCGTACGTGGAGTGTGTATTCAGAAGATTTGGAGTAAGTTCTGGGATCAAACATAACCAGTATCCTCGTTTCTTGAGCAAGAGTCCTTCTGAAAAATAAGCAACGTGCAACCTAAGGATACCGGCCCCAGGCCAATGGACAACAGGAACGCTCAGTTCAAACTGTAATACGAAGCGTCAGAGCGTATGGCGCTGACGTTGACCAGAGTAATTGGGACGAGCAAGCAGAACGTCTCATGTTCGCCCTGAATACCTCGTTCGACGCTGCCAGATTGGACACCCCGTTCTACCTGGTCCATGGCTGGGACGCGCATGGAACCATATCTGCGATGCTGGGTCCGAAGCCATCCACAGTTCAAGAACAAACGGCTTTGGAATGGCGTCGGAAGATGCAACGGGATTATAGTTATGCCCTTGCGTGCGCTGAATTACTTGCAAAAGAAGGCGGATCGTGCGAGATCTGCTGCCCAGACTCGTATGTGGAGAGAACTCTCGGATCGTGTAAAGGCAGGCTTCGAAGCGGATGATTCTGTATGGTTGTATATTCCAAAAATCCGCACGGGATTGAGCCGCAAGCTAGCCCACCTGTGGCACGGACCTTTCCGAATCGACGAAATTCATAACGACTTCAGAGTCAAACTCAAAATCCCAGGCCCAGGCTGCCGTGTAAACCCGTGGGTTCACATTAGTCGCCTCAAACCATATAGCTCTGTTCCCTAAGCTACCGACCTCAGAGATATAAGTCTCAGAAGATGACGACTTTGACGAAACCCTGTTATCCGAAGATAACTGGGAGCCGAACTCTGCACAAGATGAGTATGAGGTTGAAGATATCCTGGACCTCAGGTGGATTAAATGTACGAGGGCCTCCAAGCGTTCTCGAGAATACTTTTTCAAGTGGAAGGGATACACGGATCCAGATTGGATACCTCTGGCTCAGCTTAATTGTGAAGCATTGTTATATCAGTTCGACCAGGACGCCAAAGCAAGAGCGCGTTTTCAAGCTATGCAAGCTGGAGGTAATCCCCCTGGGAAATAATGCCGAAGATAACCCGGCCTAAGAAGCTTGTAAGCGTGAACAGGATGGTATTGATGTTGAGAAATGGGCTTGGTCGTTTCCTGGATCCAGCGAGGATCTCAGGGAACAACCATTGTATGAGTGAGTGTCATGACGCATACTATCATTAAGTGGTAAAGAAGTCAAGATACGAGAACGAGAAGTGGAAAACGATCAGAATTAACGAGTTACTGCATGAGACATAAGAGAGTGACTCCGACATCCAGAGTACGTGAAAAACAGCAACTGACAAAAGGAGTACACGCTTGAGACGCCGCAGACAAGGGAATCGCATTCCGGGCTCTGCGTTCAGGCATCATGGGAAATGGGTGCATGAATGAAGGGACTGTGGCCAGAATGCCATCATCGCAATGTGCCGCAGCGCATTGAGTGGGACAGGATCTTCCGCGTCCAAGTCGTCAATTTGAGCAGCGTAATCAGGGACTCCACGGTGAATAAAGGGCGAATGCTCACGATCCTTGAGGACCCAGTGGCACGCACACCAGGATGCGTCCACGGACCAGGTTCGTAGAGCTGTGTCTTCGGAAATCCAGGGATCGCAAATAGTCGCTTGAGTAGACCGTCGTATTGCGCCCGAAGCCGTTTGACGTCTCTGCGACGTTCATCGTACAAGTCACGGGAGGCATCTGCGTCCGCAACATCTCGCGACAAGAAGGTAATAGTCAACTAGTGCAGAATCGCCCACCAAGGCTTGGCGTTGATTCGCATGAAGTCCACGTAATCCTTGATTCCGTCGACCGTCTCAGGGTTCAGGTCACGCACTTCGTGAGAGTAGAATACGGTGATGCGATGGTGAAACATTGCGGTCCAGGATGCTCTGATGAGCTCACCATCATCATCTCGAGCCACACGACCATTAACGGGCTCAGGAATGTGAACTAGAACCTGGTAAGCTTCCAGATTCCAGCGTGCCTTCAAGATGTGGATGACAGGCTTGTGTGGCTCGAAGTCAGATACCCAAGGGACTGTTGAAAGGGATCCAACTTCACCAGAATCCCATAGATGCGATAAGAAACATGGTTCTCTCGACATGCAGCATCCATTGCGTCCACGTATTTCTCCTGAAGATCATCGTAAGCCAGTTTAGCCAACTTCGACGGAACACGCCTTGGACCCTCGGATGAAACTTCAACCTTGGCCCGACGAAGGAATGTGGCAATGGAGAGAGTAGGCATTTTGCACCCACGAGGAGCGCCACCAGATCTCGTAACTGCCTGGGACTTGGGCTGGTAATGACTCGAGACTTGGATTTCGCGGACGCACCGTGGCTCTTAGGGTCACCAACCTGTCACTCTTGTTTCCAGTCTTAGACTCACGAGGACTGGAAGGACTCAGACTCGGAGACCTCTTAACCTTCGACAGACCCTTCGCTCGACTCGTCGTTCTCGGCAGCAGCGTCGGCTCGTTCAGCCTCGTCCAGCTCCACCTGCGAGAACTCGTAAGACGGATCCTGACTCGCATTGTCCGAATAGTCAGGGAGTGTGGTTTAGGTGGTTCAGTCTCGCGCGTTGACTGTTTCCGCTTCTGAACCATGATGAACCGACGACCCAGAGGATGCCAAGGAGACGTTGGTTCCCGGTTGACTTCGCGCAGGCGTAAAATCTCCTCTACGCTGGTATAGAAGGCCTCTGGGACAAAACGACTCCAGAGAGTCTTATCCAGCTGACCCGTGTGAATCACTTGGGTTAACGTGCGACAGATAGACTCCCGAGGCCCAGGGTGATGGATTCCTTTACTCTCAGAGACCCACTTCGTGGCGAACTTGAAGTCCATCCCGGACAACAAGAGGTGTTGAACATCCTCGCGGACGTCAGTCCAGAGTATCCTAGCCGGAAGTGCACGACCGGCCTCAGCCAGATCCCGAACATCAGGGACGTTCCTGGGCGAGTATACCAACATGTTCCTGGGCGAGTAGATCTCAGGACGGGATTGACGGTTGACCCCACGTTCTGGGTCCCGAGTCAGACTCAAGGTTGGACGCTTGGGCATTGCGATGCCTTGGCGCAGGAAATCAACGATGTCGATATGATCCTACTTAAGAGTCCGCACGCGGTAGCCCCAATGTTGACACATGGTAGTCCACACACGACACATGACATCAAAGTTCTCACGAGCGACTAGGGTCTCAGATGACAGCGTGCCGCTACTCTCGGCTTCCGAAGCAACCCGGTATGACGAATCTTGGCCAGGAGCCGGCGGATGAAGGATAACGAGTCGGACATCCTCTCCGCCAGGCGATCTAGCGGGAACCGGCCCAATAGCGCAGCTAACTCGCGCTGACCAGCGATAGAGATCACATCTGCGGCGAGGGAGACAGGCGCAACGCGCTGGAGCAACGTCGGCAAGCTGCCAGCAACGTCTACGCCCATGAGCGCGTTGATGTCTTGAATGCTCGTAGCATCCAAACTTTCGAAGCACAACAGCATTACAGGAAATCATGGCAAGGGTATACCTCCACGACACCTTACATTGCGACGATCGACGCGGGTACTCCAACAAAATAAATTTCGGGGCCTCCGTAGACAGGCGGTGCATCCCAACTAACGGAGCCAAAGCCATACCAGTGTCTGCGAGCGTCACGACCCCAGAGATGACACCAGTCAGCGATACTCTTCCACTTCGGCAGGCGTGAGGGAGTTGGCGGGAGGAAGCACACCAGTGTATGTGCCGTAATCGACGGCACTTCAGTGCCTAGGTCCGTAGCGCCAGCGTTTGCAGATGGCGTGTTGTCGGGCGCAGGATTTGTCCCTGGTACAGGAACGACCACAGCATCAGGTGTCGGCGATGCAGGAGAAGTCGAGCTGGGGATGAGAGTGTCTTGAACCATTCTGGAAAGGAGAGTGAGGCGCCTTGTGTCGAACGAAGGAAATCTTGAAGTGGCAACGTTCTCTGAAGAAAGTTCGAACCGTTGATGGACTTATGAGTGTCGACCGTTACCGGTATAATCGTACTCAGGACTTCGATTTGAAAATGAAATGATGGATGGACTTAGAAATGAATTGGTGACCGGATTCAGGAGAGCCGGAATGGGCCTCGGAGAAGAAGCGAACCTGGGTTTCAGAGATGACTCGGACTCAGCGTTAAAATGGAGATATGACGTCGAGATCCCAGACATGACTTGCCAAATTGAATGAAAATTCTGCAATGATCAGCCATGGCTAGGAGAGGCGGTTGATACGAAGCGATTTGGAATTTCTCGTGGAAGCAGGAATTAGGTAAGAAAAGTGACTGTGGGATGAGAGAGAAGCGATTGACTTGGAGAAGAGCAAGGATGGGCCTTAGAGTCTAGAAGCATTGTGATGCTCAGACCAGACTCGCCCTCGTCCTGAATACGGATACTAATGATTGTGGAAAGTGTTGGCGCAAAGGTATTGTACCAAGCACCCCGTATTGCCTTAGTTCAACCCCTAAAGCGTCATTCCCAAGTTCGAGAACATTACCACCAACGTCTATTTACGAACGAGAATCACGTTCCAAGAAGAGACGGGTGCCAGATGGTGTTGTGATGTGTTCTTCAAGTAGTGTGGAATACTATACCCCAGATACCGACCAAATATCCCAGAATTACGTGATTAATTCCTGAATCCCGAGTTATAACCCCTGAATCCCGAAGGAAATCTCAGTGTCTCGAAATAGGATATCTACGTTTGTAGGAAGATATTACGTTATGGATTCAGTGGTTCTACGATGAAACAAGGCAAGATCCAGAAATTCATATCTATTACGAAGGATTCTATATCATAATATGCTATGGAGTCCCTCCTAAAGTCAGAGTTCTGACTCGAAGTGTAACGCGATCAAGTAGTGACAAGCCAGTGCGAAATGAGGTGATGTGCCTCATATCTGATGATGCTACGTGAATGCATAATGAAACCAAGTGTGTTTGAAGTTTAACCATGATGAGTGTACTTAGGTATACTGAAACCAAGATTTTACACCAGATCCAAAACGATCAAGTGAACTATGGAACATAGGATACCAAGAGAAAGATTTAGCAGTATAAGAGAGCTTCTACCTTGTGA